TTGTTTCTATTATTTGATATTTAACCCTTTTTTGAAATACAATTTTCTTCCCAATGAGTTTATTGTTTTATTTTTAGGATTGCTACAAACCAAGAAATTCCATTGGCAGGAAGATGAAAATAGAAAAGTAAAAAAAAATTAAAAGAGAATTTAATTTTGGATTATGTGCACACAAGATGATCCAGAAATGGATAAATGGGATCATGTGAGGATCGCATTAAATTGAAATATGATTAAAGAAAAATAAAGTCATAACTATTTTAATTGCTTTTCAACTTCTATGACAAGATAGTTGGCTATATATAAATCTAATTTCTCAAGATTTCTGTGTTTCTCTTTTTCAGGTGCCATGGTGGGACTTGGTCTTGGAATGTTGATTCTTGGTACCTGTACAGGTTTATTAGCAGGTTATTTCATTTATAAACGAATTCTGATATTGAAAACTTGTAAAACATTTCACACATAATTATACATTACATAAAAATTTACTGAAAAAAAAAGTTTCTCTATCTAATAACCAGATTATTTAAAACTAAAAATAATTTTGTTAAATTTATTTAATCAGGGGGACTAAATAAGCACTATCTTATGCAGAAATTATTAGGATTTCTATAGAGTGAATTATGTCATTTATGGAGTTTAAAAATAAATTCTTTAAATCTTAACAAAATAGGGGAAATCTAAGGTGTTATTGGTTCAACTTTCCCATTTTAATGTTGTGTGAGATGTTTGAAATAATTATTTCATTAGGATTCACAAATCTTGAAAGCGATCATTGGGACTTTCATCTTTTTCAAACCGAACAAATGAATCCTACTAATTAATATGGATAATTTTATACGAGATGATGAAGGTTGTTATTTAAGTACTGAACTATCTATACTTGATAGCTACTACAATTTAGTATTAGATTATCATTTTTTTTTTGTGTGCATATATATATATATATATGACAAATTGTATTTGGTGTTTGAGTCATTTATGGTTGTTTACAGCAACATTTTGTAGGTTTTCTTAACAATGAAGCGGATACTTAAACGTATCACCTAAAATCTCTCATCTAATGTTGGTTGGTAAGGGATTTCAGGAAAATAAGGTTAGTTGTTGAAACCAAATTAGACCCCCTCCCACAAAAAAAAAAAAAAAACTGTGGTTAGTATTTATGAATCTTTGTCTACCAAACACTTCTCTGGTTCTAATAGCACCTTTATTCGTTGTCATCTTAGTGAGAAACTGTCATACTAGTGGGTGGAGGGAGATGCTGAATTTCATTTAAACAATACCTCCCCACTTCAGTTTCAAATACATATTTAAAAAGAAAATTTTTTTTTTTTTTTTTTTATTCTGATGTTTTGTTTTTTGGTGGGGAACAAACATATTCTAGTGCCTTGTATATAACATTACTTTTCTGAGCATCATCCTTTTAATCATAAATATTTCATTTTTTTTTTTTTTAAGGTGGACCTCATTCTCAATGATTTGCAAAACTTTCTTACTTTACATTTTTTCTATGGTAAATATATATCAAACACCTATTCCACTTCATAATGAGAGTTTAAAATGTTTCTTGATATTTAATTTTGTATTTTCTCTTCCCATGAGTTTATATTTTTAGTTGCATTCCGGGAAGATGACTGAAAAAGAAAATGTAATTCAGTTCAAGAGGTTTCATCATAAAACTTAGTATTTAAAAAGGTAAACTTTGTTTTATATTTGTAAATCTCATTTGGCTGATATTGAAAATGTCTTAAATCTGATTTTAATTTTTCTCTGAACTAAAAATGTTATTTATAATCAGGCTACAAAATGATAATGAACATTTGTACATTTAACCGTAAGATCAAATTGTAATTGAAACTATTTTCAAACCACTTATGATTGAGATTTATACAGTTGTTGCTGACACCATTAATAGCAGCTGGAAATTTCAAACTTTGGTTTCACAAAAATTGCACTTCCTCTTCTGATGCTTGTAAATTAAAAAAAAATAAATTTGTGCCCATTGAAATGTCATCATTGTCCTGTGTCTTTATGTATATAAATGAAAATGTCTCTTATCCATTACGTTCTCCTTGCTTTTATATTTGGTATGTGTTTTCGTATAGTTTCTTAATATATTAAAAAGACATTATTTAGGTTACTAGTCTAATATTCAAAGACAGAGATACAAAAAAGGCCTTCACTGCTTGTGCATCTAATTTCAAAACCATTAGAAATAAATTTAATCAAGAAAAATCATTAATTCTGATGACATTCATAAAAGTTCCAAGACAAGGTTTTTGCGCCATCTTTACAAACAAATTCGCCTTTTACATCAAAAATAGATTAGTTTTCAAAGTTACAAAACGAATTATCCAATTGTATAAAATTTTATTTTTTAGGTCAAGTATTTTCATTGTGAATTTTTGGATTAGTTTTTCTTTATTACAAGTGAAGTAACAAGGTTTGGAAAGAATGAAGCTTTCAACATAATTGAAAAGGTTTTTGGTTTTTTAATCTCTTCATTATGTTATGTGAAGAGAATTTGAGTTGTTGGATATTTTTTTTTTTTTTTCCTCCTTGTTTAGGAGAAAAATGTTGGAACAATATATCATTTCAAATTATATAATTTTTTTTTTTCTTTCTTATAGGGTATTTTTAAAATAAATCTACATTCAGGTTCATCTCACAAAAATGTTACATGCAACTTTTATAAACCCTTCACAATTAATCAAATGTATCTCACTGCATTTAATGACCAAGATTAATAGTATCCTAAAAATTACTAATGAAAAGAAATTTAAGAGGAAATTATTTTTGCAAAAATAAAATATTAAGAAAGCAAACAAAAATAAACAAATTTCAATTTTTATTCCAAGTTTTTTTTTTTTTTTTATGTACAATTTCTATTTACAAAAATCCACGAGTTAAATCTTAACCCTGCCTTTAACAAAATAATATCATCACAGAATGTCACTTCTTCATGTAAATGTTAAGATCAAATCTTGGAATATCACAGACTCTGGACGTGTGGATCAACTACTCAGGCAAAAGTTTTTTTTGTTTGTTTGTTTTTTTTTTTTTCCACCTAATACAAAAGATAATAATAATAGTATTTCTCTGTGCTATGTTAAAAATAAAACCAAATTTCTGGTGATGAGAAAGATTTTTTTTTTTTTTTTTAAATGGAATTTTTCATCCTGAAACAATTTTTTTTTTCCCTTGAAATCTTGGTGCATTAAAAACATTATTTTTAGGAATTAAGCAAAATCTGGTGATGTCCTAACAACTAATTTCTTATACAATAATAATAAAAAAATTGGTTAATTATTGTCAGGATAAATTTAATCAATTTTATGAAATGTTCTCTATCTCTCTTGTCAGATCTGAAGAAAAAGTTATCTGAAACTTTATAAAAAAAAAAAAAATCCGCTCAGCAATCATTTATAAAGCAGCTGAGTAAAAAAAAAAATATCAAGAAGAGTTAAACTTTTTCTAACATTCTGATTTGCAGTGAAACAGTAACGACCACAACAATAGCATTGAATTCAATTTTGCCTTTTAGAGGCAAAAAAAAAAATTCCTTTAATAAGTATCTGAATTTTTATAGGAAACTAAATTCTAATAGGAATTCTGAGAGAGAAATAACCGAGATTAAATGGCTGTAATAAATCAATTTGTTGAGAAGATAAAGTTTACAACTGGATTTTTTTGTTTTGTTTAAAGTGAATCACCATTGGAACAATTACAAATGAATAAAAAGTTATTAGTGAATTCTTATTAAAGAAAGAAATCTTGAATAGTTATTTTGTAAAAAAATTTGCTTTTGATCAAATGAAATTGAAAATCATTAGTGAGGGTGAGATTTGATCTTGACATAAATGACATGAAGAAATTGGAATTATGAAGGCAGGAAATTGTGAATATGATTAACAAGCGATGGCTGGAAAGAGTTGAAAAATGAAAGATCATCTGATGTAAAGATATGACATAAGTAGGCAAAATGTGTATAAGTCAGCAGTTTCAACAAACCTTCTCAAACTCTTTCCAAATTTGAAAAGTGAAACAGACAATGAGATCATCATGATAACTTGTAGCGAGGTCAACAGTTTGCCAGGAGCGACATACAAGATGAGAAGCAATAACAATGAATCCATGTGGCTTTCTTAACACTTCTTTCTCTTGCTTGGTTGAGAAGCAATTCAAGATCGATCTCTCTCTCTCTCTCATGCACGCACACACACATATCAGATGACAAATATTTACTTCAATGATTTTTAGATGAAATCTTAAACATAAACTTCGTCAAAGACACTTGACTAGTACAATTGGTAAGACAGTGATTTTGTAACAAAAGATGGATTTTGTAAAATATAATTCAACATTAGGATTAAGACTATAACTTATTTTAAGGAAAACAAAAAAATTGTTTCCTCTGAATTTTGGGGTTATCAACAAATTTTATCATAAATAGACTCAATTCAAAATGTTTCCATTAATATAACAAGCTCATTATTGGGGGAGAGAGTTTAAGAATATTGTCTATTTTATAATTTGTGTCACAAACTAATTATAATAAAAAAATACAAGTGATTAAATTCTTAGTAAAGATAATTTTGCTTCAGGCAAGCAGCTGAACTGAATTATTAGATGTCTTGCAATAAATAAAAAAAAAATGAATTTCCTAAAAGAATTATATGTAAAACAGTATCAGGACAATTTCAGGTTTTGTGTTGAAAATTTTCCATTAAATTAAACAAGTACAAAAAAATGGTGGGGATATTCTCTGGACTGAAGATACCTATTCTTTAGGTGTAGAGTCTTGAATGACTGACATTTGTTTATCAAGGCTCCTTAGAATGTATACAAGTGTGTTTACTAGGGAAGGTATCTACAGTTTAGTAGGTCACCTCTCAATATTTTAAAATTTGATTCAAAGGAAAAAAAAAAAAAAGTTTCTATTTAACAAAGATGAGAAGGAGAAAAAAAATGGTTTTGTTTTCTATTGGTTTGTCATCTCGTCAGTGGTACTCTTTATTGGTATCCATTTGTCTGCCATCAGATGATTCACTAGCAGACCTACTGGCACTGGGCTGGCCAAGAGCTTCAAGATCTGTATCTTGGTTATCACTGATGAACATGGTCAGTCTTTGCCAAAGATCAACTGGTGTTGAGCAAGAAGTTGGGGAAGATGGACCAGCACTAGAATTCGTAGAAGACGACAAGCTCTGAGCTGGAAATGAGAGGAAAAAAACATGGTGAGAACAGAAGTGGCTTTTGAAAGAATTCATATAAAAGGAGAGAAAAAAATCAGATCATATCCTTGTGATATCTTATGCTTGCATTGTACATGTAATCTGTGACTTACCCTGCCTTTATTTTGTAGTTGAGTTTACTTCTGTTCTGAGTTTAGTTTTAGTTATCATAATCCTAATAATATTTACCATGGTTTAGTGAAATTGAAGGTCAGGTGTTAAAATCTTAATACAATGGCAGATAAATCAGTTCTGGTGGACATTTCTAAAGCCATTAAGCCAGTGAGTTTCATACGACCACAATTGCATGGTTTATCCAAAACAAATATAATGTTCCTTTGCGTCCAATATTGTCTATGGTAGGATTGGTGTGGCGGGTTATATAACTAATTATGTTAAAGACTCACTTACTTTTGCCAACTATATGCAGAAGTCTCCTTTCAGTGCTGAGGACATGTTTACGTGCCCATTTGATATCAGCAGATTGTTCACCTGTGTACCATTGCCAAAAAACCTATTGATATTTGTGCTGATGCTTTTTACTGTACTTTCCACCTATTCCTGAGGTTGTCTTTGTAAAGTTGATGGATTTTGCCATGTCTGTGGAATTCAGATTTAATAAGATGATATATATATATAGGCAAATAGATGGGATAGTGATGAGAAGTCCTTTAGGGGCTAACAATGGCAAATATATTTGTTGTTCTTTGTTTTTTTTCAAAAAAGATCTGTTTGCACATATTGAAGGACTCCAGTATTATGTCAGATATATGGACAACACCTTTTGTGTGATTGAAGTTGGGGTGTTCACATTGCTCCTAGCATAACATCTCGCATGTGAAAAGGAGAACAATGGTGCTCTCCCTTTCATTGATGTCTTGGTACACAGATCAGACACAGGATTTCTTACAACAGTTTACTAGAAACCAACCTTTATGGGTTTATATACCTGATGGGATTCCCTCTGTTCTAAACAGTAAAAAAAAAAAAATCAATTTAATTAAAACCTTGGTTCATCAAGCACTGGTAATAAAATTAGGTTTTGAAATTGAATTTATTAAGAGGTGTTCTGAGTGAAAATGGTTACTCTGTATTGTGGAATCTAGCATTAAGGAAAAAATGCAAAAATTTCAGAAGCCTAGACAGATTGGTCTGCAGACATGTCCAGTCTATTTGTGCTTAACATGGAGTCATGGGGTGAGGGCAATTGAATAGATGTATTGTTTTTAGTGTCCAACCGCTGTTGAAAGCAATATTGAAGGATCTTCTGCTTACTTATCATATTACCAATTTAGGCATCAGTGCAATGCTGACTATCTAGGCAGAATGGCTCAAAAGTTTGGCAGCACAGAACAAGATGTCCTAGCTAGTATTCACAAGGGAATTATGGACGATTTACATAGATGTGTTAATAATAGCTGAACATTTGATTAAAAGCCAGTATGTTTTCATTGTTGAATAGGGGGTAGTTCCAATTATCACTTCAAAGTGTTAGAATCCATGTATATTAAGTCCTACCAGCCATCTTTCTGTAAATAGCATTTAATGTAGGTACCTCCACTAATTTGCAATACTTAAGGTTTAAAATGTATTTTAAAAATGAAAAAGCTTTCATTGAAAGGTAAAGGATCAAATTTACTATTTCCAGTAAGCAAAATACTCTGTAGTGTATTTCAAACAAAATTATATTGATTGGAATTGATTCATTTTTTTTTTTAAAGCTAAAAATAGCTGATTAGTGCTCTTTTTTAACTGTCACTGAAATTTAATTTTCTTTATGAAAAAAAATCTTCCAAAAATAAAATATACTTTTCTGAAACTTTATTTGAGGAATATTAGCTGGTTTAAAGTATAATTAATCTGATTTGAAACAAATATTATTTCCTTTAAGTTGAAAACAGAGAAATATATTTTTAAAACAAACAATAGCATTGATTTACATGCTTTCCAATCATTTAACAAGCACTAATAAGGTGTTGACAGGTTTATTGTTGTTCTATGGAGACTTTATCTGTTCAAACATAATTTAAGAAAATGATGATGAACACTTTTTTATATATAATTTTTAAGTATTCAGTAATCTTAAAAATGTTAGAAATATTCTCTATAATCTAATTTTAGGAATGTTGACTTTAAATTTAATATAGTCATCGATGTTATTTTCTGATAATGTCATACTTTTAAAATGGGCATGTTTATACACATAAAAAAATTAAAAATTATTTTTAAAAATTTAGTGTGTGATAATTTGTATTAAGCTTTTCAATTTTCACCAGTAAATATAGTTTTCACTTAATAACATAATGCGATCAAATTTTGAAGAATTTTTAAAACTTCATAAATTATTATAATAAAAAATGAAAACAATTCTCGAAAAAAAATTTTTTTCTTCAATCTATAATGTCCTTAATATATATTATTTATAAAAGCAATTAAAAGCTTTTCTAATTAAATGATGTCATAGTTTTATTGCAGTTTTTATTTTACAATTCAAAGCAGATTTTCAGAAAAGCAGTAACTGTTTGGAAAAAAAAAAGAAATAGATGATTTACATATTTGTCTATATTTCAGAGATGAGGTCTTGTAATTATTTACATTGTTTGGACTGTTGTCCTCATCTTTATTGCCATATTCATGACATTTCCCAGGTCCTAATCAAGAACAAGTACCACTTCCCACCTAAGACATACAGGCAGTTGTTGCAGAATTACACCAAGCTACCTCACATATACAGTCTCCCCAAAATTCAAGTTATTCCGCTCAGGCCGATTGTTAGCTGCCAAGGCTGTATGTGCTATTCTCCGAGTTGCTTCCTTGTAGATAACTGACCCATTAATAGGAAAGTCACCTTCATATGTTTGAAACTCTGTCTTTGTGGAAATAATCAAAGATGCTCCCATCCAATCCAACCAGATGGTGAGTCTGTTCACCAAGAAGAGGCACTATTGGTAGTCAGGGACAGACTGGCTTTGGACTCATCCCTAGAAAATTGAACCAGTATACCAATAGATAACCTGATGGAGATGCTGATTTTTTGTACACAAACAACATATTTCAGGATGGGAACAGACATATATTGACAGGATGAAGGCTTAGCAATGGCCTCGCCATTATCACCAGCAATGGCAAATATATACATGGAACACTTTGAAGAAATGGCATTAGAATCCACATCACTATGTCTGACACTTTCGTTGATGACACTTTCATACTTTGGCCACACCAGGAAGAGGTTCAGCTACTGCTGGAGCAGTTCATAATAGTAGAGAGAAACTGACAACAAACTCACATTCCTGGATGTACTAATATCTCGAACAGAGCATGTGTTCAAGTCATCCGGATACCACAAGCCAACTTTCACCGGACAATACCTCAACTTCAACTCCCACCACCCATACAGTGTAAAGAAAGGGATCGTCTGCTGCTTACAACATCAAACAAAATTCATAAGTGGCTACCCAGAAACATATGAACAAGAAATGGTCAGTATAAGCAGTACCCTACAACATAACTACCCTGGGTACATGGCAGCGGCTGTGACAAACTGGGATAGAAGGGTACAAAAGGATAACAACACTCAGAAAACAGCTTTGGTCTGTTTACTGTATGTGAAGAAATTATCAGAGAAAATACAAAAGATATGTGGTCCATATAATATCAGGACAATCTTCAAAAGTGGTTCAACACTTTGCAGACACCTCCTCTGAGTGACCCCTCCCCAACACACACTTAGAGGAGAATATGAGTAAAGATTGCGTGTACGCCATCCCGTGCAGCCGTGGTAAGAAATATAAAGGAGAAGCAGGCCGTCCCTTAAGGTGAGACTGCAAGAACATCGTAAAGCTGTAACACAAAGGGAAATAGAAAAATCAGGTGTAGCTGACCACATATGGAAGGAAAAGGGAGATCACTGCACCTTGTGGGATGAGGTTGAAATAATAGACGGGGAACATCACTGGAAAATACGAAAACTTAAGAAATCAGCACATATGCTAGGCCACAAAAATCTTCTAAGCTGGTCAAACATAGAAATGAATACAATATAGGAACCAGTAATACAGAATGCTAGAGAAAAACAACAACAACAAAATTGCAATATGAGCTCTGGCAAAAATGATTTCTGAGACATTGAATTTATAAGTCTCAAAAATTCATACACTCATGTCCTCAAGGACACATGGCCCAGTGGATAAAATAGTTGGTTGGATCCAGTGACTTGACCCAAAAAGTTTCGGAGTTCAATTTTGTGAACAAAAACTTAGAGAGTTGAGTTAAAGGGAGATAACTGAGACATCTGGAACTAGAACAATATACTCCAGTGGACGAAATAAAGGATACAGTTCAAAATTCCAATTACTTGAAGAAGGCCAATGTACAATGGCTGAAAATGAATGTAAATAATGTAGATGATTTACATTTTCTAAAGAGTCCTGTATTTAGCTAATAAAACAAAGTTTGCAATGAGAATTTAATTTCCAGAAACTTCATAAAATTAAGTAAGAGGTAATCAATGTAAAAAAAAAAAAAAAAATTGTTTTTACCAAGATTTTCTAAAAATAATAATTTCTAAAATAAATTCATTTGTGAATAAGTCCAGAAAGTTTCATTAGAATCCGACAATTATTTGATTTTTGCACAAATTTGCATTATTTTACTGGAAAAAAGGTGCTAAAATTCCATAATCAGCTCTGTCACCAAAATTTTGAGTGTGTTAGAAAGGATTAAAAAAATATTTTGTTACTATAAAAGAAAAGACTACACATTTTGATGATTAAAACTTTGTTTTTATTAAGTTTGGGGCCTTTTTTTCATCAAAGTTGGAGGTACGTACTTTAATGTTCTATTTTCTTGCATATGACATTTTTATGGGGTTGTATAGTTGCTGTGCACATTTTTTGTCCTTGATTTCTGCTTTGATGAGGGAAGACCAACAAACAGATTTAGCTGTTTTTTTGTTTTTTTTTTAAATCGTTATATTTCAGTATTAATATTTTATGGTAATGTTTTCTTTTTGTTATAAAATTTTTAACATGTCTGCTTTTATTGCTCTAAGATCAATGTTGTACTACTTTAATTTGATTGTCAGTGTATGAAGTGTTTTTAGATGAATATTTACAGAACATCTAATTCTCAAGGATTTAGAACATGCAACATGTTATGATGAGAACATAAATAATTCTTACTTTCTTGTCACTGGAAATAAAGACTACTGAGATACAGATTATCAAAAAACAAAATAAGAAAAAAAAAAATCTTACTATTTTTCATTAAACAATAAATTTCAAGCAACTAAAAGTGATTGATAAAAATTGGTAAGCATACCTTTGTGAAGCGCCCCCAAAGGTGCAATGGAAGGTCTTTGAGAATTTGGAGTGGAAGCCTCATTAGGAGGTGAAGAGGCAGGTGTATTGAAGCGTATTGACATTGCATTCATCAGGAACTTGTCCATGTCATTTAATGTAAGAACATTGTGCAATGTTTCAAGAGCTCTCACGGATGGCACCATTGTAAATCCTTCAATACCTACGGCAAGGAAAGGAAAGGGAAAAAAATAATACAAGATTTAGTACCTTTGACAGTAGGATGACAATTGTTTTCACTATTAATTCAGATTTTTTTTAAATGTGTCTCAAGAAAGTTTTCTCCCTTTTTTTTTTTTGTTTTTTTAAACATTTAATTCACCCCTACAAAAACTAATACAATCCAATTTCTTTTGAAAGTAAAATAAATAGAAAGATTTTTTTTTTTTTTCTCATTCCAAATTTTCACTAGGATGGCATTCAAAATCTAGATTAAAAGCCAGTGTAAATTCTTACTAGCACTAGATCTGAAAAGCAAACAAATAAGTCAAGACTCTAGAAATAGCAATGGAAGAAACTGAGTAAAAAGACAAAGACATACTGCCTGCAACAATCGCCTGGTGTTGTGTTCCGATAGATTTTCTGGCGGAGCAATATCATTAAAGCCGTGAAATCATCACAAGAAAAAAAAAAAAAAATTAAATGCAAAAGGGAAAAAGAAACGATGAGAAATTCTAAGTCACAAGTAAAGAAAGGATGTCTATTGAAAGCAATTTCACAAAGATGCAAGTGTGGAGGCCATGTCATTTTAGCTTTTGGAATGTGAAAAAGAAGAGATCAAAATAGGCTGACATTAGAACAGTTTGAAGATCAAAATTCGCTTTTTAGATTACTAATTACACCACGTGCTAGGTTTCTTTTTGTAACTCAGATTCTAAAAGCTGCTGTGACTAGATAAAGCACAAATAATAGAAGAGAGAGAAAATCAAAATCCATAAATGACTTGCATTGAAATGTAAGAGAATAAAACAAATCAGTTGGTAAATGATTTTGTTAATCAGAATGCTTGACCAATGGTGCTAAGTAATAAAGTGAGAGAAATAAATAATAGTAACCCCTGTCCCATAATAACTGTTACGTTTAGTGTATGCAAATGTAACAATTATTACGGGACAGAGGCAGGAGATTTCTCAGTGTAAATACAATAAAGGTAATAATCGGCCTGAAACCAAAAAGAAACAGAACAATGTAGATCAGAAATCAAGAGTAAACTTCCAGTGAGACTTGCTGTTTTTTGTTTTTTTTCTATTAAAGAAACTTTGTCTTTACAGAAGACGTTTGGCCATGAAAATATCTCAACTGCAGACATTCAAATCTAACCTTACAGCCAATTCTTTATTTTCATGACGACCAGATACAGAAAAATTTTTTTCTTTCATTTACATACACTAGTTGGATTAAAATTAAGATTATTTTGACTTTCTTTGATGTGGATTTATCCTTATTACATGCAAACTATTGTCCTCATCTTTTTTTGTTGTTATCACAATGTTTCAGCTGTTGTTCCCTTCAGCTTTCATCAGGTGCATATTGATCTTGGTAACCTGCAGGGAAACATGATAACAAAGATGAAGACAATAGTTCTTTGATGAAGCATTATCCATTTTCAACTAATATTTCTTTCATTTTATCTCTGTTGCTTTTTATCAAAATTCTCAGACCATTATTTCTTACAGCCACATCACATTTAAACACTGGTTCCCCATATAATCACCAAAGTAATGTCGAGTTCGCCCAGTACCTAGATGGGTGACAGTTTGCAAATACCATGTGTTATAAGCTTCGATATGTGGGTGGTGTAATGGATAATGTCTCAGAAATGTTAATTGGAGAGCCAAGTTCCAATTCCAGTTGGGTTCATTATATTCACTTACCCACAAATACCCTTGGGAAATGTATGAATCCATCTGCTCTCCCCCAGCTAGGGGTTAATTAGTAAGACTTGTATCACTAAACCATTATTATCTTAAAAAAAAAAAAAAAAAAAAGAAAAAAATTCTTACAATCTAAAATATTTTCTGGCTTTAAATAACTTGCAAAGAGTTGATAAGTTGTAGAAAACAAATTAACCAAACCATTATTTCATGGTCATCGGTATCAATGTGGAGTGGAAAGAGTAAGTGATGATTTCCATCAATATTATTTATTGATGACTGCAGAATGATGATCAGATTGATTTGTTTTTCATAATTTATTGACAATTTGCGTGTTATTTAAATCAAAACGTATTTTGGACTGTAAGATTAATTCTTTTTTTGCAAGTAAATAGTGCTAAAAAAATATATAATTTTTTGAGAATGACAATGATTTTTTCCACATAGAAATCCTAGCTGGAAGGACGAGAGATGGTTTCATATGTTTTGCAAGGTCATTTGTATGCAAGTGTAATGAACCTGGCTGGAATTCAAACTCAGCCCTCTGATGTCTTATTCTCAGCCGCCACCCATTACAGAATGATCGGATAATTGTAAGAAAAAACAAATAGCAAGAGAAATAAGATGAAAGAAATATTAGCCAAAAATAAATAATTGATAATTTTTCAAAGAAATTCAAAAGAAACAATTTTTCTGTTTTGTATATGATCAAATATTTCTCAGACAATTGCAAAGAAAGCAAAGAGGTAGTGGATGTATGGACGGATGCAATTAAAACAAAAATTACAAAGAAATAAAGACAATGCTAGAGTGGACAATTTCTTTTCTAAAATTTGTACTGTTCAATCCAACAAAAAGGAAAACTGAAGATCATACAAAGAAATTTTGAATTTTCTTTTGAAATTTCATCAAATCTGGTTTTGTTCTAATTAGCAAAAGGAATTAGCTTGAAATGCAAGTAAAATAAGGCTGTTCATCTGAACAACTCCAGTAGTCAAGTCTCACATTGGTGAACCTGTTATACAAGGAGGGTGCTAAAACGTTTTCAGCCCAACCATAAAAAAAAAGGTGATGCTTAGTTGTTTGTTCAGATTTAGGGATTTAGGTTGAGCCAAGAACTTTTCAGCATCTCTTAGTATTGATATTCATATCTAGAGAAATTTTTAAATGATAATGTCATGCCCATTTTGATTAAACTTCCACTGATATCTTCAGAATAATTAACCCTAATATATTCTGCTCATTATACTTATAAATATCCTTGAGTCTAAAATGAATTGGACATTATGAAAAAAGCAGCACAAATAGAAAGAACTTTACTACAAGAAGATTAAACTGATTTAGGAAAAAAGTAAATCGGTTGTTAAAAACTGACTAAAATAAAATGGTGAACAACAACTGGAGAATATTTCAGCAGCAAAACAAGAATGATTTAGAAAAATGTTATTTGTTGTTGAAAATGAAGACACCTTCAGAGATAGAGAGGACAAACATACTCTATTTCAAAAAATAATATAAAATAAATTATAAACGGGATCTATTTCTTGAGCTTATAATCAAATAGAAATTTGTAAGTATTTAAGGTGTGAGTAATCATGTTGCAAATTAATTTTTAATAAAATTTTAAAAATCAATTGCATTGACAACATTGAAATGAAAGCTTATTTCAATAATAAATATTCTCTGCTGACAAAAAATATAATCAAATAATTCACAAATGTTATGATTTTTCTTTTAATATACAATTAGAATAGAAAGAAAAAAAAAGCATTAAAAAGAAAAATCTAACACCAAACAAAAAAGTAGGTGAATGCTGAGAGAGGGAGGGAGAGATAGAGGGGAGGCAAAGAGAAAGATAGAGAGGGATATCATGGCACATTTTTTCACCTCATTCAGATTTTTCTATTCAACTGCTTTGCCTAAGAAACAAATATTAAAAGAAACAAAAACTTCAACAATTCTATCTTAGGATGGACAAGATTAAATCAATGGGATACAGTCAGGGGAAAAGACTGCATTTAATTTTCATGTGGGGACACATTACAAAATGCTGCCTTCAAGAAAATAACTTTAATAAAACATACACATGGGAACTTTTAATATAAAATATTCAAAGATAAATTTACATAACTTTTTTGATAAAATTATCATACAATGTGATACAAAATCTCTAATAATTATCAAACATGTTGAATAGCTGAATTTATTTGAGCAGAAATGTTTCTTGTTGCCATTTGGAAAAGGACAAAAAAATCATTTTGAAGTTACTAAAAAGTTATTCACCAAACTTGTTGAGATTCAATATTCTCCACAACATACAATTCTTTATGGATTTAAATTTTATTCCTCCTTCCCACATTTTAAAGGAGAAAAGAATATTTTAAAAAGTAGTTTTGGCTTTGTACACTTTTTAACTGGCAGTGCCCTAATTTCAGGTTCCTAGACGTTAAACTGATGTCTGCAATTATGCAACCCATGTTATCTAATTAAAAACAACAAAAGTGATAAAAACTAAAGGAAATATGTTAAGTTTAAAATTAGATATGCCGTAATATAGCCTCCCTCTGCCTTTATAAATATTTTTGTGATAATTGTTTTGACGAGCTTTCCTTTTTGGTACCTCAATTTTATGAATTTAAGTGCATTACTAGATTGGCAGCAATGCCTCATCATTTTACAGTTGAAATGGTGAGATGCAATTATGCTAACAGGTTCTTCTCTTGCAATTCTTGCTTGTGAAACTCTTCTGACTTCTTGCTTTTCAGTTAATTTTGATCTTCAAAAATTTAAATGCAATGTCAATCATTATCTACTATACTTTTATTGTTCTCTCTCTTTAATGTTTCTCTTTTTCTCATATTGTCTAACACTCAGTAACCCCTTGCATATTAGTGGCTTTATTGACTTGCTTGAATGTGTCTCTATCTCTTTATATATAGGATTGATTGAAATTAATCAACTTGTTACTTGTTTGAAGACATTCATTCTGAATGATACATGTCACCACATATTTTTTCTGTCTTGTCATTTTTTTACTCACTATTATTCAGATTCTATTTTGATATCATATAGTGAAAGCTTCTAATTGAAATCAATCACCTAACAAAATAAGGTGAATAGATAATCATTATTGCATCGATCATAGATTGACAAAAGTTTATCTTCTAATTCTTTGATAAATCTTTTATCTCCTCTCACAAAATGCAAAGTACTCAATAGGAAAATAAAATAAATATCACATTCACTTTCAACAAAGATGAGATATGCGTTGAAAAAAATTACAACAAAG